TGTTTTGAAAACAAATATGGCACCCAAATAGAAATAAGCTTTAAATTCCTTAAATCTCTGACATTATAGAAAACTGGTATTTCCATTGAACTAACATTCTAAAGAATGGAGTTTTAATGTAGGCAATTTTAGAAAATAAAGAAAGGAAATTTAAAAGAAGACTAATCTCCAAGTCCCCACAATTTATCATAAATGTTACCGTCCTTAGCAACTGTAATCTGAAAATTTAAGACCTTCCCATATCAATGCCAATTATTATAGAGTTAAAATATTCATTGTAAAAAGCAAACACTGCAGCCTCAAATTTGTATGCAACTGCAATACTACACACAAAGGTGTTTGTTTTTACAGAAACTCATTCATTTCTCCTCATGTAAATTAAAACATTCGTAATATTCCAATGTGTTACTCAGTGTTACTTATCTCAACACAATATTATGTTATTGAAAATAGAGATATTAAATACTGCAAAATAAAGGGCTATTTTACCGATTATTCATTGAAATTTAGAATACTATAAAATACGGATAAGAATACAGATGGTGATATATATCACATACTTCCTAAAATGATTAATTCTTACTATAAAAAGAAAAACAATGAATGAGATTTTATCATCTCCACTGAAGAAGGTGTCTCCATTAACAAATACCTTCTCCCAAAGTTTTTGAATGGTATTTTTAACCTAAATAAGTTTCTCTCTGCTGAACCTGGTTGTTTTATTTCTAAGTGAAGTTTACCTACTACTTGATGGCCATGTTTAGTAACTCCTGATAGTTCTCCTTGTTAAATCCAAGACTATTATTATAGATTTTATTTTCTATAGCTGCATTTTTGACTTCTGAATCTTTTCCTAAAAAGATATCATTGATTCACAAAAATATTATAATTGCATCCTAACACCTTTACAAAGCATGTTGGCTTTGTAGTAACACTTTTAAGTTAAATTTCTAAATTAATTCAATTCATGAGAGATACATATAATACATTAGGAAAATCTTGAAGAGCACTTTTCTAAAATACTAAATCTCAGAGTATATAAACTAAATCACACCACAAAGTTTAAATATGCTGACACTAATTGGAAGAAAATTATTTTACTGAGCATTTTATCAACTTTATTGGAATTAATAGTTCTTTTTAAAGTTGCTCTTCAATGCTTCACTTCAGTTGCTCTTCACTGCTGAAGAATTAATTTACTTAAAAACGATCTACCAGCAAAATTGTGAGCTGGTCAAAATCAATTTTTGAAACAAATTATTTTCAAATAGTTAATAAAGATATAAATCAAACTGCAAAATTTATGCCACAGTTCAGACTCTGTGGTTCTTCAGGAAATCAAAGAGGAGTGAAGCAAATGTTGGCTGAGGCAAATCAGAGATACTTAGGACAGGGAACACAAGGCTACAGGGTCCAGTAGCAGTAACTGGTTGGCCTGAATGAGCTATAGCTTGCTAATCACTGCACTATGGGAATCCTGAAAGAAATCTTTTAGTAAATTTAATCACCCCATAAAACATTTTTTCTAATTACCATTTAAAAAATTCCATTTTGTGTCATCATCTCTCCTACCACTCAAGAAATCTGAGATTTACCTTTGGATTCTACTTTTTTCCATAACTCTTAACAATAAGCTGCACTCATGTCCTTTTGATCCCATCTCTTGGTATCTCCTATTGACTTCTGTCCATTCCTATTTCAAGAAACATTGTTGCTGCCTTTGATCAGGCCATTATCATTTCTCTCTCCTATCTTCCTAATATGCATTCTTTTAACCAGTCTTCCTGCTTTCAGTCTTGCCTCCTCCAATCCATCCTTGATGCTGCCAAATAGTGCTATTTGTCAAATGCAGTTTATCATGCTATGCTCCTGCTTAAGCTTGGTAATTGTTTCTTATAATGGTCAAACCCAAGCTCCTTCTTGTGGTAAGGAGGTTCTTAGGTGATTTGCACACTTCCTCTCCCCAACTTATCACTTAATTTCTCCATATTTCTTCTTCCCATTTTAGGCAAACTTACTGGTCCTTGCTCTATAAAGTTCCTCCTCAAACTGACCCCTTCCAGCACTTTTTACACACTTTGTAAAAGTTACTTGTAACCACGATTTGCTTACATGCTTGTCTTCCCCAAACCCAGCCCAGTGACTGGTTCAAATAAGGCACTAAAAAAATGGACAGAATTAAATATATTACTCTTAATGATTAGTGTGATATGAATATGGACACCCCATATCTAAGTTTTGGCTCTAAGCAAAAGGGTTCATCTTTCCTTAAGCCCTTAAAATCACTTTGGAAACTCTTCAACTTCTAATTTAACATATTCTGATCCTAAACACAAACAGCCAGTCTTAATTTGCTTGAAAAACCATATGATTTAAATGTACTATAACCCTTTCCCAAATAAGAGCTGCTATTATGCGGAATAAATGTACAGACCGTTTCATCTGTAAACTTGGTTGTTTAGGAACAAAAATTTCAGTTCCAGAATATATGAATTACAAAATTAATAATATCTGTTAAAGATAATTTGAGGTTAAAAGAATTAGGGGGACTGAAAAAGGAAACTAAAGTTAGAAACTATGTAAAGATAAAGAAAAATGAGTTTTACAAAGCTACTCTAGTGGCATTGGGGAGAAGAAAGATCCAACTTGTTTCTAAGAGGGTAATGAAAATGATATCCAGGATCAACAATCTTGTCATAAAATTAACACGGCATTTAACATATAAATGGAAGACCAGGAGTAGCTAAGTGTCATTTGATATGTATTGTATCTATAGCAAAATGAAATAATGTGCAAGCTTCTTATTCACTGAGTTTAGTGGTCACACATAGCAAATCTGTTTGTAAGTACATGATAGGAAATGGAAATGTACAGAACATTAGAGAAGGTACATCAGAGTTATTATTGATAGGGTGTTTATCGCAGATCCAGTACTTAATGAGTAGCACTTGGAATTAGACGACTGTATATGCTTTCCAAAGACTTGTCCATTTTGTCTTCTAGAAAATCAAATTATTTGAATTTTTAATTCGCTCCTATCATTATGCTGATATTTTCACCTATGATCTAGTAAGAATTGTATTCTTGATAACAGAAAATGTAATTTCTTAAAAATGAGTTAAATTTTATTTAATTAAATAATTCATAGACATAAAAAACAGACATTTATAGAGGTTTTATAGATAGTTGAGTATGGCCAGTTAGCTCTGTTGAAAGACCTCAATACTCAAATGTTTTTCTGACTGGTGACTCCTCCCAGAGATTTACCAGCACAGAATAACCTACTTGCCTTTGTTTATCAGATTTTATTACGTGCAGAAATCACCTGGAGATGTTGGTACAGGTAGACTGTCTCAGTATGTTTACAAAAGAGCCCTGAATTCTAGTTTCTAACAAGCTCTTAGGGATGCTGCTGGTCTATGGACCACACTTTTGAAGAGAACCTGCATCAGTGGCTCTCAGCTTTGAAGCCTATTGGAATCATCTGTGTAGCTTTAAAAAAAAATTTCTAGGCACAAAAGCTTATTTAATTAGTCTGGGCTGCAACCTGGACACTTAGGGTTTTAAGAGCTCTCAAGTTGAGGTGAACAGGTAGCTAAATATGAGAACCTATGGCCTAATATGTATTGGCTATATTTATTAGGTTTCATTTTAGTACTGCATAGATTATGAGAGTAATAAATGTCCAAAAATCTCCAAATCCTTACTGAAAATAATTATCAGGTTCCAAGTTTAAGAATGTGGCTTCATTTCTGTATTCCTATTATTTAGTAACATATCTGAATAGTAGTTTAAAGATACTCATGGAATTATAATGAAATGACAATCTCAATTATTTTTAAATTAGGAGGTAGATTTATAAAAATATAAATATGTGATTTTTAAAGTATAGGAAGTGTCAGTTCCCAACAATAAAAAGGTTCAAACTTGTTAGGAAGTTAACAAGAAATCCCCAAGTCTGTTACACTAGGAAGAAGGCCCACAGACACAGGAAAGACGGGCAAAATTGCATCATTGATCCAGCAATTACAAACTGAATCATCACTATTAGATCGTTTCTAATTATTTTGCTAAATTGAGGTTTGCAAAAGGTCAAGAAACAATTCCATTTCTGAGAATCCTTCCTCAACTTTTAGAAATGTGCATCAAAAATACTTAAAAAGAGAGTATTTTAAACTTGGAGGTATTTACATAATTCTATAATTACAGTAAAGAGTATTGGAGGTTTCAGTCAACTTCCATATACTAGACATGTGACTTAAACTTTCGAACAGGCTTCTTCACACCTAAAATAGTCCAATAAAAATGTGCAAACCCAGATTAATGCCACATACAGAATTAAGTATAACTCTGACAAGCAAATAAATAAATAATATGGCATGTTTTGGTGCAAAGAACTGAAGGCCAGATTGGGAACGACTTCCAGCTTTGCCAGTAATCAGCCATATAATAGCAAATCACATTATTTAGTCTAATTTAAAAAAATAAAGATACCTCAAAAAGATTATTTTGACAATCCCTAGCAGATCAAAGCTCTAAAATCTAAAAACAACGAATTAAGTGACCCTCTAAATCAAATATGACTAATTCTAAAGACAACAAAACAAAACCAAGCATTTCCTGTCAACGTGACTGGTTTAACATGTTTTAAGAAAAATATTTAAAACTTGTCTTTGAGTCTATTAATTGCATGGCAATCATTTAAAATAGTAAAACTCCTTAAATTAAAAAAAAATGCAGTGTGTGGAGGTGGGGAGAAGAGGGATCATTAAATGCAATGCAAGAATACCATGCAGAATTAAAATAAATGATGTAAACTGAGGATAAGGTAGCAAATACTTTTTCTAAGGAAAACTGTTTCAAAGCATGCAGTATGAAATTTCATGATCTATCCCAAACAACATACTGCATAGGCAATGTTATTAAATACACGTTTTCTGTTTCCAAGTACTACAAATAACTCATTATTCCTATACAAAATTAATTAATAAAAATGGTAGTACGTGGTGATTATTTTTTAGTTTATTGTTTAAATACATGACTTGCCAATCACAAAATATCTAGTGTAACCAAATACATAAGAATCCCTGTGTGAATCAAAAAGTGCCACTCTTGCAGCTTTCTGTCACAAGGATGCTGAGAAATGTACTGTAATAGTTTAGGAGTGAGACACAAGATAGTCTCAATTTTAAGTTTGAATCATTAATCCTCTTCAGAACTGGAATCATCCTCTTGGTCAGAGAGTTCAGGAACAGGGAAGCGGAGAATGGCAGCTACTCCAGTCAATTGGCTGAGCTGTTCCCCAGAAACGTGAAGACTAGAGAATATCCTAACGGTGCCTGCGTTCTCTTTCACACTGTCCACCAGCCTCACATACCGGCTCCGTGTGGCTACATCCTGATGCCTGAAGAGCTCATCGCTGATGAGCAATGTGTCAATTGCCATGGCTTCATTGGCCTTCTCTACCTGCTTGAGTCCATAGAAAGCTCGATCTGGTTCATGTTGTAACATTTTATAGAAGTCATCCAAGGCTTTGACTTCCCCAGCAGCTTTAGTATCTGAAAGGCGGCTAGCTACAGTAGGGTCACAAAGGGCCTCTTTCAGGGAGTACTTGTGTCCGGAGGAGGCATGTACCTAAAATCACAATTACAAAAGTTAGGCAGAATAATCTCTTAGAACACCCATTAATCAGCCCACAAAGGCTTAAAGCCAAAAGCACTAACAAGGCTTTATATGTTTAAGGAATTCAGCAAAGTTTACGTAGTCATTTAACATTCTCTTTTTACTTCATTATCTCATGATAATCCCAGCTAAGTAAAAGACTTTCTCTTCTCATTTTTCCTAGTTCTAAAACTTTAGTAGTAGTTTATACAAATCCCTCTGCCCGTTCTTAACTATCCCTGGGTAAGATTGTTTTACCTGAAGAAATTTGGATCGGTTTTCCAAGAGCAGTTTGTTGTCGGTCTTCACAGCTTGTTGAAACATGTAGTCGCAGAACTGCTCCCTCACAAATCCTGGGCTGGCCACCAGGACGCACTTGACAACATCAAAGTGTATGTGACGCTGGATAGCCTGGACCACCTGTTCATAGAACCGCTCCAAGGCCCGGTCATGCTGAGAGCAATTGCCTTTCCTTTTCCTAGGGATGTTCACCTCCACCTTGGCCCGAGTGAGGGTCATGCTGGGAGTGACTAAGCAGATATGGGCGAGGCCTTCCTGCATGACCACAGCTGCCACATCAGCGCTCCAAGCTGGGTCACAGGCCTGCTCGATGCGCTCGAGAACCACGCTGTCCCACTGTTTCTTGGCCAGGGTGAACTGGCGGTTGGGCTCCAGCTCGATGGTGTGGTAAGCTCCCATCTTGACATACTCATTCTCTTGGATGTTGGTCCCCTTAACCCGCAGCTGGCAGGCTTGAGAGTCGAAGTCAATGGCCTCCACACAGAGAGTGAGGGTAGTGCGGACCCGGTTGCTGCCCACGCTGCCCGTGGAGGACTCGGTCTGTACCTTGCGGATAGTGGAGGCGCGCAGGCTGTCACCCACCTGCACGAGGTTGTAAGTGTGCCACATGTCCTCGGGCTCCTCGGGGACCAGGGTCACCTGGCCCGCATTGTCCTTCTCTATGTTCTTCCTCACGAGCTTCATGGCCTAGCAGGGGCTCAGTGACAGAACTAGAGGAGCCAAGGAGGTCCTCACCTCCGCCCAGGGAGAGGGGATGAGAGTGTAGGGCGGGAAGGGGGCGGGGCCCGGTTCCTACGGGTACTTGCCTGGCGGGAAGAAGATACTCTTGCTTCTACTCATACAGCCGAGGGGAGCACTTCCGCTATCCTTTCGTCTCTGGGTTTCCGGGCGGGCTGCGCCTAACAGGCGCGGGAGACACAGCGGCGAACAGCGTCTTCTCCACTGCTCCCGTTGGCAGCATGGAGCGGCGGGCTGATGTAATGAAGGCGCATGCGCAGTCCGCGTCGCGCGCCTAGTCGCACGTCTCACGTCCCCAACGGAGAGGCGGGGCCGTAGGTCTTGCGGGCGCAGGCGCACTAAGCTATAAGACGCTCCAGGCGAATGAGCTCGGTAAAGAAGGTGCACGGAGTATTTGGTTTTGAGTCCTTTATTTTAATGCTAAACTTGAACTTCCTAAGTTTCTTCTTCCATTCCTGTTTGTGAAGAATCCGGGGAATGTGTGAGTGCAAATATTAGTTTTACTTGGGTGCGGTTGCCACTCTGCAACTCTTCCCTCTGGGTAAATCCAATTTCAAAACTAACTAACAGTAAAAGGAGCTCTCACAAATGCAGATTTGGCCCAAAGGTTCAAACTCTGCTCGTTTTTGCACTTATCCGCACTCGGACGCTACAAGCCTTTTGGGGTTGGTATTTAGAAGCGGTTTCTGAGAACTACTGGTCACATTCTGTCTGGGCTCCCAGCAACGTGTCCAGCTGTTTTCTGCGCCTAGTTACCTTGTTTGCACGATCTGATTAACCCAGATGTTAAAGCGCTGGTCCCAAGAGAGAAGAAACTATGTGTGGAATTTGCCCTTGGGTGGACTTCTGAGTTGCTTGACCTGATGTCCTGGGAACCCTAGGCTCCAAAGTTGGCAGCCTCAGCTTTCTGCAGGCCAGTAGCCTGTGAAGTGTTTAAGGTGGGGGTTGGGTCACAATAGCTTAAGCCAGATCACTGCCAGAGCTAAGCTAAAAGCTGAGGCTATGAGAAGTGGGGAAAAACTATTAACTATGACTGACTGTGATTGAATAGCTACATAATATAAAGAAAATCCTTAAGTAGCTTAGAATTCTTTATTAGGAAGTGGAAGTGGAGAAGTGGGATCGCCTCTTTAAAAGACCGGTGAATAGAAAAACACACACATACACACACACACACACACAAAAACCAAGAGTTTCTCTTGAGAGTTTAGATGGAGCGGAGCGCAGAGGAGTCCTGCACTCGTAGCTTCCCACTGTCTTTTCTGTCTTACTCTGTGTGGATTGGAAAGGGGAACTAACCAGCCTGAACTGATGAAACAGGGATGAAAGGAAGGAATATGAGTTTGCCATAGGCTTGTGAAAGGAAAATAAATCTCGGAACCCCAAACTCATTAAGCCAAAGGGAAAAGTTAAGCTGGGAACTGGGTCATGCAAAACTGCCTTACCTTTTGGTTCCTAAATGAGATGGCTACCAGATGAAAAGCTACACACCTCTCTCATATTTTGCCCGCAAGGAGATTCCCAGTGAGCTCCAAGATCTTTACCCTAAAATGTTTCTATTAAAATTCACCATTTACATTGGTAAATGGATAGCTTATGTTAGAGGTGCAGTCATCCCTCTACCCACCTGACACAAATACATATCTGATTGCTCCCCTGCCCCATTTGTCTATTTTCTCTTATGTAAAAATGCAGATTCACTAAGCCAGACAAAGGCACGAATGACTATTTTCCCCCTGCCACCCTCCCACATGAAAACTATTTCTTAATATTCCATCCTTTCCCTTTTAAATTGGGAACATTCAAAATCTTCTTCCCAGAAAGGCATAGACCTGTTTTCCCCACACACGTCCTTAATTTTGGCAAATCAACCTCCTAAAATGATTGAGCCTTGTCTCAACATTTATCTCTACTGACAGGCCTGACAATTTAAACTTAAGTGTCAATTATCTCCCTAAGAGATTATCAGGGGACAGAACGGAAACGCCCCCTCCTAGGGGAAAGTCCAAATGTGAACCGCTACTTATTAATATTTATGGCCTCTTTTCTCTTTGTTTCTTGTTCTCTCTGTTTCCCCTTACCTTCCTCCATCTTCCTTCCCACCTTCCTATTATACTGAGTACCCTCAAGAAGTTCCTAATTCACATTGCTTTCTTCCAATTCCAAGAGAACCCAGCAACTTTTCACTAAGCAAGGAACTGATCACATTGAAGTGTGAAGGTGATCTGCCTCTCCAAAGGACACTGAAGTATCTTGTTAACTTAAAATTCCTAATTGGTAGAGTGAACATGTACGTGTGTGTGTGTGTGTGTGAGAGAGAGAGAGAGAGAGAGAGAGAGAGAGAGGAGGCGAGAGAGAGAGAGAGAGAGAGAGAGAGAGAGAGAGAGAGAGAGAGAGAGAGAGAGAGAGAGAGGAGGCGATAATTTTGAACTGGGGCTTTGAAATGCTCCTTCATCACCTTTCTAAGTACAATTCATCTCTTCCATAGTCTGCCAAAGATTAAAAGCCACAGAATCACAGTGGTAAGCACACAGTAGGAACTTAATGAAAGGTATGTATTGAAGAGCTATCACTTATTGAATCAAGTTCTTTCCTATGCTCTTTTTAATTCTCTGTAAGGTAAATATTTATTATCCCAATTTTACAGGAGAAGAAAATCGACTATGAGAAGTTAAGAAATGTTTTCAAGATCACATGACTGGCATTGAAATTCAGACCTGCTTAACTCCATACCCTCTTTCCACTACCACCATTGTATATTATGAATGCTTGTAGTCATCTCTGCCACTGCAAATTATGTGCTGTTATCCACTGTCTCTTTCTCTCAACTGTCACCTTTATCAGTTAAACAAAAACCCACAGCTTGGGAACCAACCTAGAGGATTTGAAAGGCACTCGTCCCTTTCCTGCTCTTTTACCCCTCTTAAAATTATTACACTCTTCTCTTCTACATAGTTTTTTTTCCCTTCTGTCCAGCCTGGGTCATTATTATACTCTTAGAGAGAGATCTAATATTCTACTTTAGAAAAATATACATATATTTTTCTTCACATTAGAAATCTGTGAAAACCCCATATTAACTCTTAAATCCATGGTTAAAAAAATTTTTTTTAAGTTATGAGTTATAAAATCTTTCATAGAATTACTGTTTTATGTGAAACATCTGCAATAGTTTGGAACTTTTTTTTTTAGTAATTTAAGCATATAGTTGAATATTATATGTTTTCATCCAGATTTAGTGTTATGGCTTAGTATTTCTAGACCAATCATTATATTTTTATTTTGATTAATTTTGGATTCCCATTCCCTATGAATTAAAGTCTACAATCCCTGCCATTTAAGCCTCCATTTACTTCCCACTTTTCCTCTTAGGGCACCCTATATTCCACCTGGAAAGTAATCTTTGTTCCCTACATATGCTAGGAACTTTCTCGTTTGCTGCCTTAACTCATAGGAACTTCTCCTTTCATCCCTGCTTCCGTTAATGCTGCCTATTTTTAAAAGCCAGCTTAAATGTTATCTCAAACTTGAAACCATGCAAATGAAATGTTATCTCAAACTTGAAACCATGTTAATTTAAACAAATATCTTTTTTGTTGAACTCTGGAGGGATTGTCTTTATACCCCTTCTTTGTCCCTTGAAAGGTCGCTTGCACATAGTAGGCACTGATATATTAATGATAAGCTATGTGAGTCAAATGTAAAGTATGGCAGCTATTTTAACATTATTACAGACATTTCCAGATACTTCTTAGAGCACTTATATTGTTATTGACGGCATTTCACTAAATAATGGTAGTTTAAAAACTGCTTTAGTTATATATTTGTTTTCATTTTTTCCAGATAAGCAAAATCATGAGAAAAATACCATGGCTTTTAGCTCTATTGCTTTAAATACTAATTTTATACTTATTTATTGGATGTTTAAAATAGAAATATTTTTATCAGTAACTTTATATCAGCCTAAATCTTTCTATCAGTAACTTTAATAGTATCTATTTTTCCTACAATGTCTTATTTATATTACTCTCTCCAAAGGGGTAAAAAAGAAGTATAGTTACCACCAAAAGTTTTTAATTTGTTGCTCTTGAGACACTTCCAGTGTCTCAAAAAGAGAACTGGGCTAGAAGTCAAACATCCTGGATTGTAGTTCTTACTCTTCAATTGTTTTTACTGTAACTTTTGGCAGTACTCAGTCTCTTTGAAACCAAATTTATTTTACTGAAATTTGAGGGAATTGAATTTAATAATTAAACTTACAACTGTAAAAATTAGGCTGCAGTAATATTTTTTAAATGTTTAAATAACATGTGTAATCTCACCCTAACATATTTGTTTTCAATTTTGCATGCTATCTTTCAGATTTGATTCTAAGATTCATTTCAGTGGCTAAAGACTGATTTGAAGTTTTGTGCTTATAGACCAAGAATTGGCGGACCTGAGATACGGTCTTTCCTAGTTGGATTCTACCAACTTGAAATAAGTCCCAGACCTCAATAAAGTTATTTTTTTTCATTTTAAATTATAAATAAGATTATTTGTTCTGCTCTTTCATTTGACCGTCTTTATGAGGTTCAAATGACATTATGATACTTAATATTAATAAATGATGGAGCTCTGAAAATGCCTGGCTTGACGCTAGAAAACTGTATTAGATAAAACAAGGGACAAGAGCCATTTTAACATGATCATGATTATTTAGCCTTGGAAAAATAACTGGTTTGGTAGAGTTGACTGACAGATAGTCTTTTGGATACATTTATTTATTTCTCACTCCCATTTCAGGGAAACCTTAGGTCAGCTCTACTGAATGAAATGGTTCATGCACCTCATTGGTGAGTTGAATTACTATCTTTCCTATTACAATAATATGAATGAAATGGTTTATATGACATAAAATGGAATTATGGGCCCCTAAAAGGTGGAAATCTTGTTTTAATACCCTCTGCTTAGCATGAGACCCTTAAACAGTCGGGGTTGTATAAATTTTCTTGTTTTAATCTTGCGTTTCATTTTGAAAGGCTTACTTTCTTGCCACACAAGCCTAATCTTTTCGTTACTCTGTATAAAGCACTTTAGGAACCTCTCCTACCATTGCTTCTTTCCATGAATACTACCTCTTCCACCAGTGAGCTACGTGAGTCAAATGTAAAGTATGGCAGCTATTTTAACATTTTTACAGACATTTCCAGATACTTCTTAGAGCACTTATATTGTTACTGACTGTATTTCACTAAATAATGGGTAGTTTAAAAACTGCTATTCCACCAGTAAAGGCAGAGACTGACTGCCTTTTATCTGTCTTTGTGTTCCTGGAACACAGCATAACAAGTGGCACATACTTATATTTTTAGTATGCAAAAATTAGTGGTTATTAATTTTTCTTTAATTCAGAGTTTTTAACTTGCCTGTAACTGACATCCTAAAATTAGGAAATCATATTTTGTTTTATAATGTTACTAAAAATTTATAAAGAAGTTTAGTCTTAAGGTATGTTTATATAAGCCTATTTCAATATTTGAGAGCAATTTAAAATACATCTTCTGCAGGAAAAGTTCTTAAACTGTTTTAAAATAACACGTAATGGCAATTAGTTTTATCATTCATGGTTCGGAAAGTGAACTTTACAAAATAGGAAGCCAGAGCTCCAATTATGAATATCTAGTGATAAATGCAATCATTTATTTAGAGAGAATGTGCAAACCTCAGATTGTGCAAAGAAAGGTTCCCATGTGACCTCTGCCAGCAAAGCTAAGTGGTCGACTGGGAGGATTAGTTAGCTAATATAGACAAAAGGGTAAAAGGTAAAAGGGAAAGTGAGTGGGTTTTTTTTGTTTTTGTTTTGTTTTGTTTTAAGGAACTTGTACTCACTATCTGAATTTCCCATGATGGAAAATACTTACTTGCAATTGTCACAAAACAATACAAAATCTTCTACTAAATAAACAAAATCCTATCAACAGAAGTGTGTGTGTGTGTCTGTGTGTGTAGTTCTATTTGTATGTATTCTTATACAGCATAAGATCATTTCACCAAAAATATTACAAGTAAAATGTATAACAGATATTTTAAGGACGGGCCAGTACCTATGTATTTTTAGATTTTAGTATTTGGTAAAATAAAAGTCTAATAAAGTAATTTTGAAAGTCCATTTAATTTATAATAAGGATATGTGATTTACAAAATATATAAACCATCTTAACTATCGATGTTTTAAAGTGATTTAGGTGCTATACTTAAATGTAAGAATTTGCATTTATTTTAGGAGATCTCACATATTCATATAAAAAGAGTATGTATATTCATTCCATTGCATATTTGAATTACAATGAGTTTTCAGTTCAGATCTGTCACTTGTCTTGTTGATAGGGATCTCCTGTTTGGATAAAACTGATCTTTTTAACACATAAAGTGCATTCTTAACACTAACCAGCATATGCATTTTAATTTCCTTTTAAAACTTAGTTGACTTTTTTATCTTTCTTTTAAATCAAAGGAAAGTTTTGATTAAAATTAGTCTCCTTCCTATATACATAGCCCTGGAGCTTACCAGCAACATGACAAAAAGTTAAGAGTTTGCCGAAGATAGAATCAGTCCTGTGCAACTGGAACATTATTTGATTACTTTATTGTCACCTTTCCCCTGAAGCTTTCTTCTAAAGATCGAGTATTTGGAGGGAACTCTGTTTTTGGGATCTGGTGAGGCTTTTGGTGCCAGAAGAGTAATTATCCCCTAAATCAGATATAAACTTGGCACTTAAAGAGGACTAAGAGGAGCAATGTTATATCTTTATATCTAGGTGAGGTTTTACATATTAGCCTCTTTGAAACCTTATGACACAATTTTTAAATGTCCAAAGAAATATAATAGAAAATTGTCATGTAGGTACACTGTATATTATTGATTGTAATTTTCAGATGCACATTTTCTCAATTTCAACATCTCTGAAACTAGAAACCATCTAACAATCTAGCAATTATAATTAGATTGGGAGTGGCTTGTCTTTCTTAGTGGTACATAAAATCATGATGCATCTGTCCATCCATTCTATTATTTATAAATTTGGGTTGACAGAAATATTTCAGGCATAGGTATAATAAAAGGAGATAATCTGATCCCATAATTTTATGAGTTGGTCAATAGTCACTTCTTTTGTGATTCATTCAATTAAAAAGCACCTATTATTTCTAGGTGCTATGGTTAATAAACAAAGATCCTACCCTCACAGAGCATACAGTAAGCTGGAAAGACAATTAGATAGTGAATTATAATACCACGGTGTGTTATATAATAGAAGCAAAGGTGCTGGGATATACATGCCCTGAAGGAGGGTCCAATCTACTTCAGGGTGTCTCTTGGAAATGACATTTAGTCAGGAATTGAGACCAGTAGCAGTGGTAGTGACTACTTATGCAAAGTCTCCAAGGAGACTTTAGAGTAGCTGGCACAATTAAGGAGCTGAAAGGAGCTCAATAATCTTGAAGACAGAAATATATGCAGTCATTTGCATCTCTTGATACTCTACTGTACTTGCTTTGAAGGCGAATACAATTCTTCAGTCACAGACTGCTCTGAATAGGCAGTCTATTCTGACTCTAGCGCTGTGGCAACAGTTTCAAAATATCTTTTATCTCAGTTTCTTAACATGAATTCAAGTACACTGTTTTGTATTTCATACAACAGAAGAGTAGTGTAGGTAAAGAATAGGATTTTGGTCCCCAGCTTTTCTAAATATATTGTAAACATGAGCTACTTTATTAAAATATGTTAAGAGATGTGGAAATTCAGCAAGTTCTAAATCTAGTGAGAAGTTTATTGGGTTGGAAGTGGAGGAACATGTTAGAGGAGCATTCATCTACTGTAGTCAGAATATCAGTGATAAGCTGTGGCCCAAGAGCTCATGCTTCAAAATAGCTGGATAAGTGTTATGACAGGAAGGAAGAGAAATGCTACATAGTGTAGCATATATATGTGTTTTGTGGTTACTCTCATTGCCTGTTTACTAAACAAACAAAAATCCCGTGAATTCATTGCTGCCTTTACAAGCATCACAGTAAGTAAGACAGTTTTCACCATTTTCAGCAATTCCTGACAATACATTGTCTGCCATTGGGAGTCATTCTCTGTTTTGAATAGGTGGCTGACTTCCTCCCCATATTCAGCCATCTACCATCTCCTCACTGGACTTTATTTGGAATAGGAAATCTTGCCTGTGAGAAAAGTCATAAAAGAAGACCTTGCTTCTTGACCAACCAAAATATTTCTAGGAAAGGGACATATAGCTTAATTAGGGGTAATTCTATATTTATATTCTTAATAACCAGAGATAGGAGTCTTATTTGAGTTTACTTTAGTACAACTAAAAATCATGGAATTGAAAGATTGACTTGTATGATTAATGAGGTCATTATCCAAGTATTTTAAACAATTATGTTTGGATTTCACATTTAGAGGGATGAGCAAGGGTGAATGAACTTATCTTTAGGCAGCCTATATAGCATATTTTAGAGCATTAAATTTGAGGTCAGAGATATGAATGGAATAGATTTGTCATTAGTTCTTCAACTTTGGACAAGTGAAATTAACTTCTTAGTACTGTATTTTTATTCTTCGTCTCTAAAATGGATAATAGTTATACATTTTTAATTTTTTTCTTTTTTTCAAGGCTAATCAAGTAGAGCAGTGGGGGGTAGAAAAAGAACAAAATCTGTGACTGGTTGTGATCAATTAGTAAATTTCATTTTTAGATTAAAATGAAATAATACATGCAAAGCTCTTGGCACAATATCTTGCACATAATACATTTCAGGGTTAAGTTGTGCTAGTTACTCTGTTATTGACTGTCTTGCCCTTTGTCCTCTGGAAGGTTGGATCTTAGAAACATTTGGATATGGCCAATGGGAGGGCTGAGCAAGACATCAGAGGGTAGGAAGAAAGGGGGTATATTTATTTTCCCTACTCTTTCTCTGCTGGGCTTCAGTTTTGTCACTAGCTGACTGCATTCCTCTTTTTATGACCGCAACTCCAGTCTAATGGCCACCCTCCACAGCTAGAGTTCATAATCAAACTAACACTGCCACCATCTCAGGCCTAGGAATGGTCATGGATTTTCTTCTCACTCTTGCTTCAGGTTCTTTTTTTCCCCACTGTGGCTTTTGCTAGATGCTCCACCCTCTTTTCTTGTTCCTTTAAGCCTCTCTAAACTGTCACTTTATGAAACTATCTTCAGTTAAATCCTTTATAGGTGCCATTAGTTTATGCTGAGACTTCAACATACATAAAATAATATTTTGTTTAGACATAGGAAGAACATCTTTTTGAGGAATCATTGTTAGTAAATATTGTAAAGAGCTAATATGAGACACTCTAAATCTAATGGGAAGTTTATAGGGATGCTGCTGGTTTCTTGTTCTGATGTAAACTCAGCTTTGAAAGCTGTAGAGAGTTTGTTTAGATGTCAGAGGGAGGTAGAAAGGAAAGGTGGAGTTCTTTTCCTGATGCATAAAACAAGATCATTCTTCAGTGGCAGAATGAACATGAGGATTATACAGAAAGTAAAGAAAAGTGATTGGCTATAATGGACAGTTTATGCTTAAAGATTGTGGTAGACAGAATAATGGTCTCCCAAAGGTATCCATGACCTAATGCCTGGAACCTGTGAATATGTTATCCTAGATGGTAAACGAGACTTGGAAGATGCAATTAAAGATGTTGAGATGAGGAGATTATTCTGGTAGGCACATTGTAATTACAAGGATCCTTAGGAAGGTAGTAGGTTCAGAGTCAGAGAAAGAGATGTGATGATAAAGTAGAGTTATGGGAAGATCTGAAGATTCTACCCTGTTGGGTTGAAGATGGAGAAAGGGGCCACAGGCCAAGAATGCATGTGAAAACAAGGAAGCTGATTTTCCTCTACAACCTCCAGAAGAAATGCAGCTCTGATGACATCTTGATTCTAGCCCAATGAGACTTCTGACCTACAGAACTGTATAATAGTACATTTATGTTGTTTCAAGCTGGTAATCTGTGGCAAGTTGTCACAACAGCAATAAGAAACTGACGTAGGAGTAGCAGGAAATAAGAGAGAGGGTGTTGGATTAGGACAGTCAGTTGAGAATTTTGGATTTTATCTTAAAGGCAACAAAGAACCACCAAAGAATTTGACTAAAAACAGATAATAATGAAAATGACGTATTAAAAGGGTAGACAGGAAGTTGGGTTTAGATTGAATACAGAAAGATAAGCTCTACATTAGGTGAATGGATATGTATGGTGATGAGTCCCCAGGTTACAAATGGACTCTGAATTGAGACGTTTCCAAATCTGAAAGAGAATGGTAAGAAGAGCATAGAGAATATAATGACTGATGAGGAATCAGCAAAGGAAACCAGTCCAATATCAGATCTCTCCTGTGTGTTGCAAAATGGACATAAATATAGGATACACATGTGATCTAAATATTATAATTTAGAAATATCTATGCATTTTTTAAAAGTCTCTTCCTGGATTCAGCAATGTATATTTCACCAACATATATAGGAAATTGTAACTTGCGAAACTTCTCTGTTATTTCAAGTTTCATTCTTGTCTTTTTAGAGGTTATGCAAACCTCATTTCATCATTTCTGCTCTAGAGACTGCTTATTTGGTAAAATGAAAAAGGTACAACTTGAATAGTTAGTAAACGACTGTATTCAGATTTTGCACAAAAACAACAAAATACAAACAAACAAAAAACTGAGTTGGAGAGGAATCATAGGTCAAATATGTATAAAGAGTAGTGGCAGTAGCTGGTAAGTTAAACCACTCACTGGCCATAACGCTGTTCAGCACTTACCACTGTTTGGATTATTGGACATTTCCTGAATAGTGGGAAATGTTTGGATGAAAAGCCAGTAGCTCATTATTAACTCTTTTTATATCACCTCACTATGAGAAAAGCTCTGCTTGCTGATAATCAACTTCTAAATGATGTTTATAAAAGTTAACAATGCCTGACCATCTAAGACAGGTCTAAACTGGCTGGCCCTACCCTATTTTTAACCGTAAAAATGCTAAATTACCTAGTACTAATAAGCATGCCAGCAGTAAAAACACTGAACAATTGAATATCAATGATATGTTAAAGCCATTAATTAACCCATTAATAAAGTGATTTTCAGCAGGGCTCTGTGGCTCATGCCTTTAATCTCCATTCTTTAGGAGGCCGAAACGGGCGGATCACAAGGTCAGGAGATGGAGGCCATCCTGGCTAACAAAGTGAAACCCCATTTCTATTAAAAATACAAAAAAAAAAAAAAAAAAAAAAAATAGCCGGATGTGGTGGCATGCGCCTGTCGCCCCAGCTACTTGGGAGGTCGAGGGAGGAGAATCGCTTGAACCCAGGAGGCAGAGGTTGCAGTGAGCCGTGATCGCAGCACTGCACTCCAGCCTGGGCGACAGTGAGACAACGTCTCGACGTCCCAACGTCTCAAAAAAAAAACCGTGATTTTCCTTCACGCAAAACTTCTATCAACACACTCCCCCGCCTCCCACCTTCTTCAATTTCTCCTCCATTTCAACTCCCACCCTCAACCCCAATCAGTAACTGATAAAAAAGATCTGACCATGGGTTAATTATTGGGAAAATCTTAGAAAATGCTGTATTTCAACCTTTTTCTAAATTGGATACAACTTTGCATTTCCACTATGTTTTTAAGTACCCTCTTGAAAAGTACACGTTTATATACAAATAACAATACTATATTTTGCATCTTAAAATTAGACTGCGCTGCGATATTGACAGAGAAAATGTTCACCATTCCTTTCTACGTTTCAAAATATCCCTTCTCTTGGGTGCTACTTAGAAACATCATTTTGTAACAAGCAGCAGTTTCGCCTTGCATCCCTGTCTTTTCTTGTTCTGCATGGGAAGAAAGCCTGAATATTAGACAGCAAGAAAATGCAATAACGTCCACTCTAGAACAACCCGAGGGTAGTTTTGCATATATATCAGGCGTCCTATAAGCACCACCCTCCCATCCCATGCCATAAAAAAGGGGGGTTGCGGGAGGACTTTAAGCAAAGTCCTAAAATACAAGGTGTATTGTAAAAACAACTTTAATTTTAAAAGTCAATTCTACCTTGTAAAGTTTTCAGCGCTGCCTCACTCCTCCTAGGGTGAAGGACTTTGGAGAGACACCAAAACTGATTCACATCAAAACCAGAACACGAAACTCCTATCAGCCCCGTTGCCTGGCCCGAGTACCTGGAGTGCCCGAAAGTGGATGGGCGCTCCCTCCTCCTCTCTGGCCCACGGCTCTGAGGACCTCCCTCCCCGCTCCAAGCCCCGATCCCACGAGCAGGAGATGCTCAGAGAAAAGCGAGTCGCTCACCAGTGAGGAGCCAGCAGCAGGCGACAGCGACCCCTGGATGGGCGCGGAACCGGGGGGCCATGGCCGGAGCGGCCGCAGCGCCAGGGGGCCGAGCTGGTTCTCAGGGCAGGACCCGGCGCGGGAGCCGCGCGCTCTGGCTGGGCCACTCCGCCCGCGGCTGCGGTTCCCAGTCCTCTGTCCCAGTGGTAGCGGCGCCCAGGAGCGGGAGAGGAGTGATTTCCTGTGTTTTCGTCGACTGCCTCTAAATGCGCTCCACGCTTTTCACATCCCAGACGGATTGCCACATCGCCCGCCCCTTCGCGCTCTTGGTCTCTGAAATCCCGCTGGCAGCTTCCCAGGCTCTGTCCGAGACATGGACAAATAAAGCCTGCTTCGCGGGTCCGTGTTTAGGCTAAAGTCCACCGGCTGTGGAAGCAAACCTTAAAGGGACATCTGCCTTTCATTGAGAGGATGATCCTGCTCTCCCAGCCAAACCCCCTAGGTGGTAGGAAGGCGGGTTAGGGCTGGACCTTCGGGAGGGTGTCGCCAGCCCAGTGGCTCCGCCTTCACACCCCTGACTTCTCCGGGTCCTGGCAGGGAGGGCACTTTGACAGTGCCTTGGCTCCCTTAAGGGGAGGCAGCTTTCCTAGGTCCATTGCGCAGAGGGATTAGGCCGTCTGTGAAAGCGCGAGGATCTGGAATCCCCTCCTTCCCTCTCCTGCGAACCCTTGAACTTCACCGTGAGGTCGTTTTGCACGAAAGGGGGCGTCCCCACAACCCCGACAGGCTCTACTGAGGGCTTTGCTCTCGCTTAATGTGGTGGTGGTGTGTTGGGGGGGGGGGAGGTGTTGCTTCGTTTATGGTAATTCGTGGTTGAAGGGTGGATGCAGATGAGCTTTTCTTTGAGATAACTATGGTAAGGGGAGACAAGGAGAAACAAGACGGAGGAAAAACAGTAAGAGTGAGAGCGAGAAGGGAAGAGAGGAAGAAAAGCAGCCTCCTTGGAAACGGAATGTGTGCGGGCTATTTTGCTTCACTGAATTAAGATGTTTGTACTCTGGTAATTGAATCTAGTAAAGAACTCGGAGCACTGTTATTTGTTTTCTTACTTGAAACTTTTACGAGTAAAACTGCATTAAGAGTCCAGAAGTGCTTAGGAACTTGCAATGCTTCCCTTTCCTGTGGAGTCAAAAGCCATATTCACCTTAACTTCCACCAATGCTTGCTGTTTTTAAAATAGATGTGTCTTACCGGTTTTGAGAATTTCAAAGAACAGAAAGGATGAGTGGATTTGTGTTTAGAGAAATCTGAGGAAACTAGTTCAATTCACTTCACTTCAACTCAACAACTAATTGAGCATCTCTAGCAGGCAGAACTAGGGCTAGGCAGGACAAGAGTGCCACCCAAAGGAGGATACCTTGAGCAGAACACAACACAGGTAGCCCAGCACAGGTAACACGATGGACAGGAAGGAAGAAGCCCACAGATAAAACTGGATACATTGCCTGATAGAGGCTTGCAGCAACTAAAAGCTAGAGAAGACAAAAGTTGAAAAAGTTTAATGAGGGTCAAAAATTGGGTGGGCAGAGCCAAGGAAGTTGAAGGCCGTTAGATCTCACAGTGTTGACCCCTTAGCCAAGAAATTCCTTTTCTATTATGTATCTGAACTGATACATAAAAATCCTGTTCTCCCCTGTTTTTAGTTTTTATAATGTCCTTTCTCAGTTCTGTCTTCAAATTTACATAAATAAGTCTCCAGAAAAATTGTGTTGGGTCACAGTTCAATCCCATTGGACTTTACTTAAGTTCCTTTGTTTGTATTCAATGCTCTTATATCTTGCCAAGGAATTCATTTCCTGTGTACATCTCATTTCCCTGTCCGTATATCAGTTATGTCTTATGTCTCTAAGTATGACCCTCTGTGCTTTGAATAGTAACCAATAGATATTGATTAATGCATAGACATTTAAAAATCATAGTAAGTACTTTCCCAATGATATTTCTCCAAATTGCTTAGTTTTCAAAAATATATAATAGTGTGTCTACATATACACAAACCTATGTGTATGTATGTGTACATGTATGTACAGCATATACATATGCTAATACAAATATGGCATTTTAGCAAATTGCAATATATTTTATTAGAAAAACAAAAAGAAATTGTAAAATATTGAAATAAAGTAGGGTTAACATATAATATGTTCAAGGTTACAATTACTGAAAAATTTACCTTTTTTGGGGGGCTAGTACATAATTTTAATTTTAATATTCTTATTTCTTCTAGGACTTACAAATTATTGGTGGCAACCATCACTAACAGTGATTTCGTTACAATTAATTTTCACTTGTTACAAATTACGGTAATATTTATGTATCTTTTTATGTTTAATCAATACAAATATAGAGGCTGAGAGATAACTATTGTTGGATAATTAATTTCAGAATCAGTACTTATTTTCTGAACTTCAATAAACCCAAATACAAATAAATGTCAAGCCAGATATTTTCTTAACCAATTTTATTCTGACTCACAGAAAGACATGTCATTGAGTAAGGACAGGTCATTGAGTAAGGATTTAGAGAAGACAAAAACCTGCCCAGAATCAGAAACTAGTTATTGATACATTTGATGACAAACGTTTAACCTCTAGACTTTACGCTACATACTTTTCTATGTATGTCTCTTTAAATGAGGCTTGATTTGATCAGATCTGTGTTAGGGTTTGGAAACATGAGTAGGAGCATGAACCTTATTGTGAACTGCACACACTTCTTATGAGAATCTAATGTTTAATGATCTGTCACCATCTCCCATCACCCTCAGATGAAACCATCTAGTTGCAGGTAAACAACAAGCTCAGGGCTCCCACTGATTCTACATTCTACATCATGGTTAGTTATATTCATCATATATATTACATATATAATGAATATATAAGTTCATCATATATATTATATATAATGATATATATAATGAAAATATAATATTCATGTGTATGTGATATACATGTATATATAATGAATATTATATATACATATAATGAATATAACTAACCATATATTCTGTATATAATATATAATAAATATAACGAACCATAATGAATATATATTATATATAATAAATATATAAATTAATATATATTATTATATATATTAAAAATTCATATAAAATTCAAGCACATATCCATTGTGCACTTTATTCAATATATATATTCATTATATATTATAAAGTAATTATAATAGAAATAAAGCACACAATGGATGTAATGTGCTTGAATTATCCTGAAACCATTCCTCCGACCCCCCATCTGTGGAAAAATTAGCTTCCATGAAACCAGTCTCTGGTGCCAAAAAGGTTGAGGATGGCTGCACTAGGAGATTAGAGACTAAGAATTTGGAAAGTGGATGTCTATGAAATGAGTCAAGAGTAATTGAGATTATTAACAATAATCTCAAAAAGAAAAACATATGCTTAACACCAAAGTATTCTTCTTGGAGTTAATCTAATATACTGAATAAGGTAACTAGAGTGAGTAAGGTTCTAAAGTTGCACTGCCTGGACTCCAGTCCTGGAACCACATACAGTAGCTGTGTGATTTGGGAAATGTCATCAAGTTTATCTAAGCCTCAGTTTCCTCAAATGTAAAGTGGGGATGAAAATACTGTACTACCTCTGAGCATTGCTGTGGGGATTAAATGAACTCGACCTCTGAGCGTTTAGCACAATGCCTGGATTAAAATAAGTGCTCAGTTAGTATGAATCATTATTCTCAGTAAATAGAAACATTGGTATTATATAGACCATGGAAACAGGGCAGGCTCTGTGTGTGGTAGACCTTGTAATAAGTGATGTATTTTGATGGCCGTCAGAAAAGGAACTTTAATGTCTGCCTAAAAATAGCTCCATAAACTCCTATTATTGTTTCTGGAATCCTCACTTTAAAAATATTTACCTTGGATTAGGGAATTATCTTGAAGATATTTCTACAAAATGGGTATGCATAAAGACATCAGAACCCATGATAACATTCACACGAATTTGCCTTTCAAATTGGCTGGCCGTCAAAGGTTTTTTTTTTTTTAATTCTTTTAATGTTTTTAACAAGAGAAGAAAATTCCACTAAAAGATTGGGAATAGAAGAGGTTCTAGAACTCTGTGTCACATGTACGCCAGGGTTCTCTAGCAGTAAGATTATAGGTTCTCAAAGCCACTGGATAAATAAGCTACTCCCACCTGGTTAGGGGGGTGGTGCTGATTTTACTCAATAGTAAATAATTTAAAAATTGTTGTTTGCTTAAATAACAGATTTGCATTAGAAAGATTTTTAAACCATGGTTTTTCTTTAAAGTCGAATATGAAATTTTAAAATACATTTTAAGGTAGCATTAAAGTGTAATATTACCCCAACCCCATCCCCTCCACTCTCAGGTGTTAGGGTAGGTGGAAGTGTCTAGTTTTACAAAGCTTTTATGAAGACTTGGATTTTTAAGTTTTACCTTCTAAGTACTCAGGGGAATATATCCCAAAACAGTGGGGCTAACTCACAAAGCTGACTCACATGGACAACTTAGTCTAGTTCAATAATTTAAAATTTTCTGGTATGTATTGGGCTCCCGGGCTATGTTGTGCAGAGGCAAAAATGGATAGAACAGTTGTTATTCCACTGCAAATCTGCTGTCCATTAATTTCTTTCACTTGTAACTAGGAACAGAAAATAGTTTTGTCCTCAATTGTAACATTAGCATATTTCAAGCCTATTAAATTAAGCAGTTTAGTGAAATTATCCTATTAGTTGTTGTTGATGTACCTTGAAGACCCATGATTGCTTCCTCTCTGACCAAAATAAAGTCACAGTGATATGGAGCTTAAGCTTCACCATGAGCCAACCATTTGTTTTTTGTTATTACGTAATATTCCTGTGTGTTTTTTCACTTAAAATATAAAATAGGTGTTTCTCCCTCCCTATTTCCTGAACAAGCCTGTGCCAGAAACCTTGTCCAAAGACATTTGGGCAGCTGGTACTTAAGAAAAAAATAATAATTTGACTTCAGAATCCTGGTGAGGAACAGTTCTCAACACTATAGGAAACTTCTCGGGACGTACTGGCAGACTTCAACATGAGTGACATACCAGAGCTGCAGCAGGGGAGGGTGTACCGGGTGGTGCCCTGGCAGGAATGTTCAATTCGTGGCATTCCGTGACTCAGAATAACAACCACTGATGAGCAGTAACATTTTAGCTGTGTTGCTAGGTCCCTTAATTTGAAATATGACTTAATTATATTTTTAGCTGTTATGCAATACTAGGATCATTTGAACAGGTTGATTTAATTATTTCTTTTAACCAATTTGTAAAAAGTTAAAGCAAGTGGACTCTAAAATCCCAGAATTACAACAAAATCTATTTATTCATATTTCTTTTTTTTTTTTTTTTTTTTTTTTTTTTGAGACGGAGTTTCGCTCTTGTTACCCAGGCTGGAGTGCAATGGCGCGATCTTGGCTCACCGCAACCTCCGCCTCCTGGGTTCAGGCAATTCTCCTGCCTCAGCCTCCTGAGTAACTGGGATTACAGGCACGCGCCACCATGCCCAGCTAATTTTTTGTATTTTAGTAGAGACGGGGTTTCACCATGTTGACCAGGTTGGTCTCGATCTCTCGACCTCGTGATCCACCCGCCTCGGCCTCCCAAAGTGCTGGGATTACAGGCTTGAGCCAC